TATTTTCCCAAATGGTTTATATAGTATTGGAATTAATTGTTCTTTAAATGTTTCATAGAATTCACTTATAAATCATCTAGCCCTGGAGATTTTTTCTTAGGTAGTTCATTGATGGCTTGTTAAATTTCTTTTTCCAAAATGGGATTATTTAAGTATTTTATTTCCTCTGTTAATCTGAGCAATTTATATTTTTGTAAATATTCATCTAGTTCACTAAGATTGTAAAATTTGTTGGCATACAGTTGGGTAATATAGCTCCTAATTATTGTTTTAATTTCCTCTTCATTGATGGTGAATTCACCCTTTTCATTTTTGATACTGGTAATTTGATTTTCTTCTTTCTATTTGATTGCTTTATGTTATTTTCATAAAACCTGCTCTTAGTTTTATTTATTAGTTCAATAGTTTTCTTGATTTCAATTTTATTAATCTTTCCATTGGTTTTTACAATTTCTAATTTGGTATTTAATTGGGTATTTTTAATTTGTTCTTTTTCTAGCTTTTTGGTTTTTAGTTGCATGCACAATTCATTAATCTCCTCTTTCTCTATTTTATTCGTGTAAGCTTTCAGAGATGTAAAAGTTCCCCTAAGAACTGCTCTCTCTGCATTCCATTAATTTTGCTATGTTGTCTTATTATTGTCATTCTCTTGGATGAAATTATTGATTGTTTCCATGATTTGTTGTTTGACTCACTCATTATTGAGGATTAAATTATTTAGCTTCCAATGAACTTTTTCTGTCTTTCCATGGCCCTTTATTACATGTAATTTTGATTGCATCATGATATGAAAAGGATGCATTTGATATTTCTGCCTTTCTACATTGGATTGTAAGGTTTTCATGCCCTAATACATGATCAGTTGGTGTATATGTGCCATGTACTGCTGAGAAGAAGGTATATTCCTTTCTATCCCCATTCAATTTTCTCCAGAGGTCTACCATATCTAACTTTTCTAAAATTCTGTTTACCTCCTTAACTTCTTTCTTGTTTATTTTGTGGTTAGATTTATCCAATTCTGAGAGGAGGAAGTTGAGGTCCCCCACTAGTATAGTTTTGTTGTCTATTTGTTCCTATGACTCCCTTAATTTCACAAAAAATTTGGATGATACCGCTTGGTGCATGCATGTTTAGTAATGATATTACTTCATTGTCTACAGTACCTTTTAGCAGGATGTAGTTTCCTTCTTTATCTGTTTTAATTAGATCTATTTTTGCTTTTGCTTTGTCTGAGATCAGGACTACTACCCCTGCTTTTTTTTTTACTTCAGCTGAAGTATAATATATTCTACTCCAGCCTTTTACCTTTACTCTGTGTGTATCCCTCTGCTTCTAATATTTCCTGTAAACAACATATTATAGGATTATGGTTTTTAATTCACTCCGCTATCTGCTTCTATTTTATGAGAGTATTCATCCCATTCACATTCACAGTTATGATTACTATCTGTGGCTTTCTCTCCATCCCATTTCCCACCCCACCCCCATTTATGCTTTCCTTTCCCCTTTCTCCTTTACTTCTCTCACCAGAGTTTTGCTTTTGACCACCACCTCCCTCAATCTGCCCCCTCTTCTATCAGCCCTCTCCCTTTTCTTTCCCCTTTCCCCTCCTACTTCCTACAAGGTTAAGTTAGATTTCTATACCTAGTTGGGTATGTTATTCCTTCTCTGAGCCAAATCTGATAAGAGTAAGGTTCAAACAATGCTCATCTCCCTCCTTTCTTTACTTCTACTGTAATAGGTCTTTGTGCATCTTCATGTGATGTAATTTACCCTTTGCTGCCTCCTCCTTTCCTCTTCTCCCAGTACAATCTCTTTTCACTGCTTAATTAGATCTTTCATCATCACATCAAAGTCAACTGATACCCACACCTCTGTCTGCGTATACCCCTTCTAAATGTTCTAATAAAGATACAGTTCTCAAGAGTTACAGGTATCATCTTCCCTTGTGGGGATGTAAATAGTGTGTCTTTACTGAATAACATGTTGGGTTTTTTTTTCTTTCCTGATTACCTTTTTATGCCTCTCTTGAGTCTTGTATTTGAAGATCAAATTTTCTTTTATGCTCTCATCTTTTCATCAGGATAATTTGGAAGTCCCCTGTTTCATTGAATGTCCATCTCCTCCCCTGAAAGGTTATGCTCAGTTTTGCTGGGCAGTTGATCCTTGGTTATAATCCAAGCTCCTTTGCCTTCTGGAATATCATATTCCAAACTCTCTCATCTTTTAATGTAGAAGCTACAAGGTCCTGCATAATCCTAACTGTGGTTCTACAATATTTAAATTGATTTTTTTTCTGGCTGCTTGCAGTATTTTCTCTTTGACCAGATAATTTTGAAATTTGGCTAGGATATTCCTCAGTATTTCCAATTTGGGGTCTCTTCTAGGAGGTGATCAGTGGATTCTTTCGATGACTAATTTATTCTCTGTTTCTAGGACTAATTTACCCTCTGGTTCTAGGCAGTTTTCCTTAATGATTTCTTGAAAGATACATCCAGGCTCTTTTTTTCATCATGGCTTTCAGGTAGACCAATAATTCTTAAATTATTTCTCTTAAATTATTTTGCAGGTCAGTTGTTTTTCCAATAAAGTATTTTATGTTTTCTTCTATTTTTTAAACTATTTTTATTTTGTTTGATTGATTCTTGATGTGTCATAGAGTCATTAGCTTCAACTTGTCCAGTTCTAATTTTTAACAAATTGTTTTCTTCAATTAGATTTGTTTGTACCTTCTTTTCCATTTGGCCCATTTTACTTTTTAAGGAGTTCTCTTCAGTGAGTTTTTGTGCCTCCTTTTCCATCTGCCCAAATCTACTTTTTAAGGAGTTGTTTTCCTCAGTGTACTTTTGCATTTTTTAAGAACTTCTTTTCTACAACCAATTTTTGTCCTTCCTTTTCCAAGCTGTTGACTCTCTCTTGCTACATCTCATTTCTTTTCCCAATTTTTCTTCTTCCTCTCCTATTTGACTTTAAAAATCCTTCTTGAGTTCTTCCAAGAGGTTTTTTTTGGGCTTGAAACTAGTTCATATTCCCCTTTGAGGTTTTGGATGTGGGTATATTGACAATGTTTTCTTCTTGTAAATTTATGTTTTGATCTTTCCTGTCCCCATAGAAAGAATCTATGGTCATTGTCTATTTCTGCTTTTCGCTCATGGTGTTTGACTATTTCCTGGATTTTAAAGTTGAGCTCTCCTGCTGAAGCACAGGGACCACTCACCCAAATGTCTTCTGCTTGGGGCCAGGGACCTGGCCACTGGCTTTGTGTGCTGGCACCTCAGGTGCTGGCAGCTGGAGGTTATAGGGGTCTGGCAGCTTACCTGGTGCCGAGCTGGGCTGTGGGAGTGGAGGCACCTGGCCCCTGGCAGACATCTGTTCACCCAGGCTGCTCTGAAGCTCCAAAAGGTTTGGCTGCTGGAGGATGCCTGGCTGCCTGAAGTTGGCTTCCTGGAGTTGTACAGAAGCACAGGGAGGTTTGGCTGCTGGAGTCTATGTGCCTGTGTCAAGGTTGTTTCCATCAGAGTCAGAGAGGAGATTATGTTAAAGGTGGTACTGGTGGTGTTGACGTGTCTGGCACATACTGTCTTCTATCTTTCTGTCATGGTGCCCTGCTACGTCAGCTAGGATGTCTTGCCTATCCTGTGTGTGGCAACTTGCTAGCAGTTGGTTGACAGTTTTTCCACAGGAGTTATTTCCCCAGATGATGGCTTCTGAGGTCTATGACAGAGGAAAGAGTGAGCAAGGAATATTAGTGCTATGCAAGGAAGGTTGCCTCAGAATGGTGGGATTACAGACTGCCAAATCCTCCGAGTCCAAAGCCCTGAAAAGCTAAAGAAGAGTGAAGACAATTTTCATGGAAAGACCATTGTATTTGGAGCTAGGGTTCCTCTACACACTAATCATGTGATCTTCAGTAAATCACTAAAGTGCTCAGACCCAGGCCTACTGGGAGGAAAGTACTTGGTAAATTGTAAATCACACTATAAATAAGAGATAGTACCATAATCATTATTATGAAAGTGCATGAAGAAATGGAAAGAAGGCTGAATTGTGAGTCAGGGGATTTAGGTTCAAATCCCATCTTTGTCACTGGTGTGACGTTGGGCAAGCCACTTAACATTGCTTGGCCTCAGTTTTCTCCTCCATATGTAACCTAGGGCTCAAGCCCATTTGAATAAAACTCTCCTCATTGATAAAGATTAACTGATGTTCCATGCTTGTGTGAGAAACAAAGCTGGTAACAACTTGGAAGAGGAGCGCTTCTAAGTCTTTAGGCTTCTAGATTCTAGAGAGAAGAAACCTGAGATCCCAGATCTTTTCATGGAGAGATCGCTGGAAAGATCAAAAAGACTCTGAGGAGAAGCCAATATGTAGAGAAGACAGCACCTCAATCATGTAAACAGACCCATTTTACCACATTTGCGACTTTGAAGAATTTCCCTGTGGTTGTTATTATTGGGGAATATTGAGAGCTTAATCTCATTTGCACTCATTCCACATATCTAATTTATTGTTCCATCTGTTTCCTTCTGCTTTCCCAACATATCTTACATACACCACCTTGTCTCACACAGCCACCATCCTTAATGCAGGGCCTTTATCACTTCTCCCAGACTCTTGCTATAGCCTTTTAATTGGTCTCCCTACTTCAAGTCTGTCTCCGCTCTAGAGTGATTTTTATAAAGCTAGGTCCTGACCATGCCACATACATACTCAGGAAACTCTAATAAACTCCTACTCAAACATCTCCTTCATTTGCTCATTGAAGACATCAGCTGAAAGCAGAGAAACTGCTTCCAAATGTTTCTGCAGCAGCAGCAGCTATTGCGGTGATATCACAGAAGAAGCTATGATTGTCCCATCTTGCTCCACAGAAAGCAAACAGAACCCCGATGCCCCATTCCACATCCCAAAGTTCATCTACAGGGATGGCACCCAAAGCTACACTTCAGCATCCACAGGTGACCCTGAACTAATTACCCAACTTCCTTTCCAAGAATGGTCTAAGACCTTTGTGCTCTGGGATTTCTGCTGCTCATTCAGTGAGAGAGGGACAGCCCAGCAATGCTATAGTGACCACTTGGGCATCTGGGCTTTCTCTAGGTGGAAAATACTTGGAGTTCCTAAGACAGGGAGTCAAAGGGCAGGAAGTCAACTCCTATCAAAATAAAAGAATACAAGCACAGCTTCAACAGCTAAGGACCAATAACACTTTGCTGGAAGGACCCCATAAGGCACAAGGTACAGGTATTCCTACTAATACCTCCCTTCTTTCATTAATGCTTCCCAAGCATATTGTTCTCAACTCATCCTGTTAGAGCTATTTTAATAAACATCATCATACATGGAACAGTGATGGATATGTTGGTAACAAGATGAAAGGAAGATATTTGTTATGTTTAGTGTCCACAGTTAATTCTCTTGAGAACTGAATAGAATAGAAGAAGTTGCTTTAAATGAGACCTGACATGGCCAGGGAACCAAGAGGAGGTTGACACTCCATCTACTGAGCCAGTAGGTGGAAACAGAAGGACAGAGATCTGGAAGGGTCTGCCATAGTGCTTACCTTATTTCCCCACTGGTGTTGCTCCTTTCAGTGGTGCTACCACAGGAACTGGTGGCTGGATTTGAAACATAAAATATACAAGCCAAGGGACCCATGTCATGGCTGGCACTGCTGGCTATTGCTCTGGCAATCTGCACATCCCAGGTCTCTTCCAGATAAAAGTCCCTTATTATACTTAATAGATCTTCTATACTAGCAGGCATGGGGATGCTCTGCTTTCTTTAGCAGAAGGGAATGACTTGTCCCCTATCAGGCTTCATGGGAAGGTCTTGCAGTGGATGGCTTTCAGTTATGGTGCTTGTTCTCTAAGGGGATAATGTGGTTTGTAATACAGGGTGTCCCAGAAGTTTTAGTGCGCTTCTAAACTATTAAAGCTAATATGAAATTCATGTTTTATTATATGTTATGCATTAAGATTAAAATTTTAATAGTTTACGACTGCACTAAGATTTTGGGAACACCCTATATTACATTGACAGCTTGTGGCTCAGATCCATATTCTCTTTGAAATAGGAGAATTCTCATAATGAGAAAATTGTGATTTCAATTCCTTTTCTAATGTACATTCTTAGAAAAGGTAAGGACATCTCTAGTCATACTGATCTACATCTTGCCACTGGACCCAGATGGCTCCAGAGGAGAAAGTGAAGCTGGTGACTTTGCACAGTCCTCCCTCACTTAAATCCAATTCACTTGTAAGTCATGACATCACTTCCCTGATGTCATGGTCCTCCTCCAGAATGAAAGCCAAACAACATCAACAATAACAAATTTTTAGGAGCTAGAGGGTCCTTAGGAAAGCTAGAGAAAACAGGAGCTGGGATGTCTAGAAAACGGAGGACAACAAAAACCGTAGGAACCTTTCTCTTTGGTAAGTGGTTTAAGTGATTGATGATGGTCAAGAAGAATGAGGGGAAAGAGAGAAAGAAAAAAAAGAATAGAAGGTAAGAAGTTGTTGACTACTGCTACTCCAGTTGAGAGACAGGACCAGTCATGAGAAAGTAGGCTTGCTTAGCTCCCAAGTTAGGGCAGGACTAATCATAAGAGTTGGTTTTGTAGGGTACTTTACAGTTTACAAAATATTGACCTCAAAACAAACTTATTAAGTAGTTTATCCAAGCACCATTAATTCTATTTTACATTTAAAGAAGCTGAGAATTAAAGACTTTGAATCAGGCTTAATTTGGCATATCAGGAAAACAATTGTGTGTACTGTTATCTGGAAAGTTCTCAGTGTGGGCCTTTAGCCTGCTGTTCTCAAAACCTGAAAACATTTCATGGATAATCATATGTAAACACAATCTTGAGCAAGAATGACCCCATTACGTTGTTGTGGTGCTTGATGGCCAAGAGTGTAATTTCAAATCAATAACCAGACAGAAAGAAAAAGTTAGAGGCCTCTCCCACCATACACACACACACACACACACACACACACACACACACACACACACACACTCCTCAATAAAAAAAAGAATTCTGAGGGCATTATCAGAGTCTCTAATCTTGGTATGTATAGCAAATAAGTCCCCCCTCTTCTCTCATTCCACCTTTTTTTCCCCCAATTGAGCCTAAATAATGAACACTGGCTTTTGAGTCAGAAAATTGGGATTTAACTCCTGACTTTATCACTCAGAGTCTGAGTGACCTTAAGTGACTCAAGAACTCTGCTCACCAATTACTTTTGTGTACAGTGAGGTGGAGCAATGGATAGATCACTGGACTTGGAATCAGGAAGACTCATCTTCTTGAGTTCAAATCCAGCCTCAGGCACTAGCTAAATGACCCTAGACAAGTCACTTAAACCTGTTTGCTTCAGTTTCTTATCTGTAAAATGAGCTGGAGAAGGCAATGGCAAACTACTCTAGCGTCTTTCTGAGAAAACCCAAATGGTGTTAGAGAAAGTCAGACACGATTGAAATGAACACCGGAGACTGTACTATGTCACCTCTAATTTCTAATCTAGCTCTCAAGTGTAGAGCCCTAATATATGAACAGCTGACATCCCAGAGAGGAGGACATCTTACTGCTCCTTGCTATACCCCTTTTTCTAAGACCTCAAGTAATGAGAACCCAGCTGTACCACCACCACCCCCTAGGTCCTTCACCTGGTCCTAGCTTCACATATTCCTGAATCCTTCCCTCTCCTGGTTTTCAGTGGCCTTTCTAGAACATAGCTTTCAGAACTGAACATGATACTCCAATTCTGGTCTGACTATGGCAGAGAACAGAATCACTGTCCATTCCCTCATTCTCAATCAACATTAGGCCTCTCTTAATTCAGCCTAGGTCTGCACTGGGCCGTTGGGTAGCCATAGCACACATCTGGTTCATGCTGAGCATGAAGTCCACTAACACTCCCAGCTCTTTCCTAAATAAATTACTATCCAGCCAAAGTTTCCCCAATTCTTTCTTATATAGGTGATTTTTTTTTAACCAAGTGTAAGATTGGGAGCTCCTGGTGAGGAACTTCTGAGGTAGATCAGTATGTCCTCCACAATTTATTAGTTTAAGATAGTTATTTATCCCTATGAAATTTCATTTTAACAGATTAATCCCGATGTTCTATCTTGCCAAGATCTTCTTGGATCCCAGTTATGTCATTCAACACATTATCTTTCCCTCTCAATTTTATGTCTTCTTTGCGTCTTGGAAGCATTCTACCAATACTTTTATCCAAGGCATTGATAGACCCTTTAAACACTAGAGGACAAGGACAAAACCTTGGATCTCCATTACAATTCCATTAGAGATTCCATTAGAGACCTCTGACCATGTTCACATCATCCTATAAATCATGTATCACTTGAGGAACTAGCCTTTTCTTCTGGCTATGCAGACCAAATTCAATCTCAGATTCTTCCCACTAATGGTAAACTCTGTGGCTTCAGCATCCATTAAGAAGACCTCCCTAAAAATATCAAAATCAGGTTTGTTTCTTTCAAAGGGTCCCTTGCCCACTGCAAGCACCTGTGTGCCAGAGTTATTAAGCATAAAATAGGTTTACTCAATGAAATAATTGAGAAGGGGCTTCCATCCAAGCCCCATTAATGAAGCAATAGTTACAGCTCCTCTTTGGTGAGCTCTTTCCTTTTCTCCAGAAGTTCAGTCATAGCTTTCTCACCTTATCAAAACAATACCTCACCATCTAACATTAAATGAAATTCTAGCACTGTGAATAGAATTGAGGTCCCTTGGTGAAGGGCATCTTTTCATTGCTTCAGGATCTATCCTCTTGGCCTCACTACCCCTGCACAATGTCTCAGGCATTTTTTTTTCAGTATGGTCCAACATTTCCTAGGGACCTCAGCACAACACTTCTACCTGCCCTGGTTGCCACAATTTTTGGTCTGTCTAACTGGCTGGATGCCACATCTCTCATGCATTATGATTTCTAAATCATAGATTTGGAAGATTCCAAATTGACGCTGTTTTCAATGCCTTTTGCCTACACGTCCTCCATTTTTTCCCCATAAATAGAGCTGCAGTTTTGTGTTTCTTTTTTTTTCTAGATATTCATTAATGTTTTCTACTTTTCATGATCTTTCAAAGATCTTGTACACTGATACTCATACTTTCAACTTGTACACTGATATGTATAAGATAAGGTGGGACACAAAGTATTCAAAAGAGAGATTAGACAAATTGTGTAATGAATATTTGAGGAGAGAACATTAACAAGTGAGGAAATCACAGAAAGCTTCTCTGAGGAGGTGGTATTAGAATTCTAGGCAGCTAGAAATCCTTGGCACAATGGATAGAGTGCTGGACCTGGACACTTCTTAGCTGTGTAATTTTGGGTAAATCACTTAACTTCTGTTTGCCTCTCTAAAATGAGAATGATAATAGTACTTACTTTCTAGACTTTTTGTGAGAATCAAATGAGATAATATTCATAAAGTATTTAGGTACCATCTAAATGCTAGTTGTTATTATTTTTATTGTTTGTTACCTGGAAGATGGGGAAGAGGGAGAGTTTTTTAAAGAGCTGGAAGAATTTCATAGACAAAATCTTGAACTCTACCAACATCCCCCAGAAATAGAGGAACAAGCAGACAAGAAGTCAAAGAATAGGAATTCTGTCAATGGGAATAAGAGCTATCTCTGTAACTCAAGCCCATTGCAACTGGGATGAGTTAGAGGGGTCTCTGAAAATGAGGGAAATGGGGGGGGTTCTTGTCAGCTTGATGACAGTTTCTTCATTCATCTTTAGATCTGAGAAGATGTACCTCCTTGCTACTTTCCAGTTTCTCATGCTAGCAATATCACTGACTATGACCTCTGTCCAAGGCAAATGTGACTGTGAACCAAAAACAAATACATGCAATTTTGTGCCCTGTGGATTGCCTGGGAGCAATGGGTTACCAGGTCGAGATGGGAACCAGGGTCCAAAAGGAGAAAAAGGGGACCAAGGTATGTAAATCAGATCTCCCTGAGTGGTTTCACTGCAGGAATGGTACTGTAGAAAAAGTGTTAGAGGCATAATGACCTGGATCCTAATCCTGTCTCTGAAACTTGAGCTATGTAATCATGAACAAAAAACAACCTCTCTGAGCTTCATTTATAAAATAGGGTTAATGATACTATTGGTACTTACCTCACAGTGCTCTTATGAGGCAAAGATGAGCTGATACATGTAAAGTTCTTTGCAACTTTTAATGCACTATAGAAATGTCATTTATTATTATTCTCTTCATCTTCTCAACAATCATTTGCTAAACATTTACTCAAGGTAAGACACCATACCCAAAACAGTGAAATAGCAAAGATTGGTAAGACATGGTCCCTGACTCAAAGAGCTTGGTACCAGGATCTCACACTCCTGTTACCTCCCCTACTAGAGCATGGGAAGGTCTTTTATACTGGAGGCTTGATTTACCTCTGAAAGGAAGAATACAGACTGAGGCAGATCCCATGGGTCTGGGGAGAAATAACAGCAAACTGAAGCCCCAGTAGGTAAGCTCATTTGTTTCCACTCTCTGTTGACATTCCTAGGTTCTAAATAGCCAGCCAATAGTAGGGCAGTTTTCTCGGCCACCAGTAAGCCTCAGGTTCACTTCCATAACAGGAGTTCAGCCTGCTCATGGTTGTGGAAGGAAGAGGGCTCAAGTATTAATTGTTGTTTTATCTCTCCAATTCCTCTGATGATAAGGACAGAGAGGAATGCTAGGCCCTCCTGGAAAAGTTGGCCCCATGGGTATCAAAGGAGAAAGGGGTCCTCAGGGTCCCAAAGGACCAAAAGGAGACAAAGGAGGAAATCAAGGTGAGTTATGTATTTGACTTGGAACCGAACAGGGGTACAATGGGAAAAATAGAAAGTAAGCAAAAAAATATGATCATATGGAAGAATTGAGATGGGGGGAACTTTTTCAACTCTACTCAATTTAGTTCAATATGTATATATCCAGGATCTGTTCTGGTAGGCCAAGACTCAGGTCCATTCTCCAGATCTCACAGTCCTAGGTGTGGAGCCAGGACTTATGTGACACAATTAAACAAGAGAACTGATAGCTTGTATAGTATATGCAATATTTTCTTTAGGAATGTAGAGAAATGGGAAATTAGCATGGGATGAAATAATTTATAGTGGCAAAAAACTGGAAATTGTGAGGATGCCCATCAATTGGGAATGGCTGAATAAGTTGTGGTATATGATTGTGATGGAACACTATTGTGCTATAAGACGTGATAAGCTCAATGATCTTAGGAAAACATAGAAAGACTTGCATGAAATAATGAAGAAAGAAATGAGTAGAACCAAGAGAATATTGTATACAGTAACAGCAATATTGTGTTAAGAACAACTTTAAATAAATAAATGCTTTTCATTATCATAAATACCTAAATTAACTATGAAGGACATATGAAGGAAGCTGCTGTCTGTGTTCAGAAAAAGAAGTATGTATAGAAGGATTTTACATACACACACACGTGTGTGTGTGTGTGTGTGTGTGTGTGTATATATATATATATATATACACATATCTATCTATCTACCTACCTATCTATCTATCTATCTATCTATCTATCTATCTATCTATCTTTCTAATGATAGCTATCCCTAGGGCAATGGGAGAAGGGAGGGAAGAAACAAGAGAAATAAATTTGCATGACGGTATATATATTAAGTTGGATATAATAGATTTGCAGCTTCATGTGCAATCATTTTATTATTCTATGTTATAGAAATGCTTGTTTATTCCATAAATTAAAAATAAAATTAATATTTTTTAAAAAAGAAATAATTATGAGAAGACATTTTGGGGGTGCTTTCAGGACAGAAAGGACTTTAATGGGGAAAAGTATCTTAAACAAATGCCTTTCTAGGCATCAATAAAGGTAAGGAATGAGCAGTAAAAGGATAATGTGAACACTGGTCTGACCAGAGTGGAAGGTGCAAGGGAAAGAAGATGAGTGGGTTAGATAAGAGTTGATAAGTTAACAGCAGACAGCTTTGAAGAATAAAATAATGAATTAGGACATTAGCCTCTAGGTTATAAGGAGCCTCTAAAGGTATGGTGTTAGAAGGACATGGTAAAAGTAAATAAAAAGAAAATCTAATAGTGTTGCACAGGCTGGGAAAGAGGTAGGGAAGAGAAAGAAAGGGAGGGAAGGGAAAGGAAAGAAAGGAGAGGAAAGGAAAGGAGAGGAGATGAAATGAAAGAGGAGGGAAGGGAAGAGAAGGGAAGGGAAGGGAAGGGAGGGGAAGAGAAGGGAAGGGAAGGGAAGGGAAGGGAAGGGAAAGATTAGGGAAGAGAAGAAAAGGAAAGATATGGGAAAAGATAATGGAAGGAAAGAAAAGATAAGGAATGGAAGAAAGGAGAAGAGAAGGGAGAGAAGGAATGACAAAAGGGAGGAAAAGAGGGTAGAAATAAAAGGTCATTTAGTAGATAATTATAATTTCTCTTGGCCTAAACTAGAGTGGTAGAAACAGGAATGGTGAGAATGATAATGAAGGGGAAAAAATGAGTCACAAATACATGAAGGGAAGCTTATTAATCTTGGGTCAGGAGATAAAAGGAAAACTAGAAAATGGAGGGAGGATGAAAAGGAGAAGCTATTTTTCTATTATCTCGGAGACCCAGTACCACCCTGATGTGGCCATTGGAATGTCCTATGAAGCTGTCTTATGAAGAAATCTCACCATTCAACACAAGGCAAAAGATTAATTCCTTCCTTTCTCTTTCATACTTCCCAATTACTTAGGTCTTTGATTTCAGTGCTGAGTCTGTTCCAATGTAGGGTGGAATGGAGGCTCTGGTATTGAGCTCCCCTAGGGATGAGATGTGTCTTTCTCACTAGGGGAAAAGAAATCAAACAACCTTTGTCTCTTAGAAGCATTACGTAAGGCTCAATGGAAATGACAAACCATTTTTGACTTTCAGAACTGATTTCACTCAAGGCTGAAATGACTGCTTTGCAAGAAGAAATGAGGATGCTGCAGACTTTCATCAACAAATATAGACAAGGTAAAGAATATAACTTTAAGACTGTGAGCCTGAAGTGTTTGCTCATAAGATTGGTGTCATCCACCCTTCCTCACACATTACCCTCCTAGTGGCTCCCTAGGTTCAGGTTTTCCCAAACCTGAATGTGTCAGTCACATTCTAATCTATGGAGTACTATGCTAAAGAGGCAGAACCACTCTTATAGCCTTCAATTAAAGTGAAAGCTTTGCTAGTTAGCCATGTCCTAAAGTATAAGTGCTGGACTTGAAGTCAGGAAGATGTTGGTTCAAATTCCACCTTGGCCATATTCTAGCTTTGTGATCTTTGGCAATTCACTTTTAACCCTCTAAGCCTCAGATTCTTTGGCTCAGAAATGAATTGGCTGAATAAAGTGAGTGCCTCAGTTCTTCCTAGATCTGAATCTATGATTCTATGATCTCTAGGGAATACTTCCACCAAAAGTTTTAGAGATTCAGAGACAAAACTACAAAGAGGTAGAGTAAGAACACTAAAGTCACAGAGAAAAAAGTAGGAGAAGGAATAGTTGGAAGCCCAATTCCAATGCCTTTTTGGGTCCCTCCTCAAGCCACAAACCCTAGCAAGTTCTTCTACAAATTAGAATTATGAAGAATTAGCTGAATTTCAGAATCATGATTTTGGAGTTGATTTGGGGATCATCTAGTCCAGAAGCTCCTCAACCTGAGATCCAGAAAACCTTTTTTATGATAATTTATAATTAAAAATATTGTGATAACTCTATTCACTATAATTAGTTTATTTTGTAACCCTCTGTATTTTATTTTATGCATTTAATATTACTCAGAGAAGGGGACCATGATACACAAAAAGGTACAGAACCCTGGCCCAGCTCTGTTGCTCTCCCCTTACCAATGAGAACATTGAAGCCCCTAGAAGTGAATGCCCAAGGTCATGCACAATTAGCTTTCAGTGCTCTTTCTTCCGTCCAGTCCATTCCTTTCCACTCCACATGCTGTACCAGACTCCAGTGGATAACAGACACCTAACTTTCTTCCAGATACCTGGAAGCACTAAGAGAGTCAGTGCAGGCCCTTCAGGGGATGCTTTGCTCCCCAAACTTTGGACAAGGGCAAAAAACATCTCTGGCTTGAAGTGGTATACCCCATTTTAAGGATCTATTTGGTTACTGTAAACCTATGCTAGGATGCTTTCTGTGGACAGTAGGAATAAAAAAGATGAGATCCTGACTATAACTCCTGTTGTTGGGTTAGGGAGGCATGGCAAGGATGATGTGGAATCATGTTCTGAGTCTCCTTCTGCCATGTATGTCCCATAAGTCCCCTTCTTCAGAGCTGAATGTCTACCAAATTCAAGATATTGGCAGGAAGTTTTTCTTCTAACACGGTGTGACTACAGCGTCTCTTTCTTTCTCCTCTACAGTTATGATATTGTCTGGTATCAGAATTGTGGATGAGAAATGGTTTAAGGTAATGGAATCTGAAGGGACATTTGAAGAAGGAAAGAAAATATGTTCACAAAGTGGTGCCCAACTGGCAGCCCCCCGGAATTCCAAGGAGAACAGAGCCCTGCAACAACTGGCCAAACAGTTTGGTAAGAACATCTACCTGGGCATGAGTGATGAGGAAAGAGAAGGCACATTCCAGTATCAGAATGGTCAAACTGTCAGCTATACCAGTTGGGCATCTAGAGAACCCAATGGTGAAAGAAAAGAAAACTGCGTCGAATTATACACCGATGGCGATTGGAATGATAAAAGCTGTGAATACAAAATGCTAGTTGTTTGTGAATTTTAGGCTATACCATAAGTTTTTAAGAGGGAACTGGGTTCACTGTTGTTGCTGGCATCCTCTTAAAGGATTTCCTGGGCAGGAGCTGTGTCTATATTTATGAGATAAGTACAGAACTTGGCACTGGTCTTGATCACTTAAATAATGCTGATCACAAATTTTCCTGACATTATATCCTCAAGAGAGAGACTTACTTCAAAGGAAAGATCTAACCAATCTGGAATACAAGCCCTGTAGATAATGAAATAGGACTTGGATGGGGGAATCTCCCCAAAGACTTTTGGGCTATGCTTGGGGGATATACACAAGAAACCAGTAGGGAAAATCTGATGAGAACTGCAAAGATAGGTTATGGCCAAAGGGGGAAAGGCCATTTCAATTTGGACTCTAAATATTGTAGGTGGCAGCTCAAAGAGTGGGATGTCATTTTAAAAAGAATATATTTCAACATTGCAAGTTATGGCATGATATTGGAAATATCACGGGTCAAAAGCAATTGTAGAATGACCAGATTTGCAAGATGGGTCAAACTAGAGTCCATGCAAAGCACAAATCCCCTCTATAACAGATGCTCATCCCAGTTTGATAGAAATGACAGAAACATCAATACATTCTGAGGCAGCCTCTTTCCATTGCTGGCCAGCTCTTCTTCAAAAGTTCCCCCTTATAACAAATCCAAATTACACACACACACACACACACACACACACACACACACACACACTCACCAAATTTCCAGCCACTGATCATAGCTGTCTCCTCTGTAACTGCATGGGGCAATTCTAATCTGTCTTCTACTTACCATTGTTAACTACGTACAACTTCTACATACAACTTTAATTACAAAAAAAAAAAATTGGAGGTAGGAATGATATTTCTCCTGCCTCAGGCATTATCTTTTCCAGGCTAAATATCCCTCACTACTCCAACCATTCTTTTTATGATTTGACTTTAAGACTCCTTACTAGCCTCTGTTAGATTCTTGAGAGCATACCTTTATTTGTATCCCTAATGCTTGCACATAATAGGTGCTTAATAAATGTTTGTTGATCAATTGATTGGCCCTGAATTCTTTCCTTCAGCCTATCAAGATCTTTTTAAATCATTACTTTGTCATACAGTAGAATAGAGAGCTATCCCAGTTCTATGTAACCTACAATTTGCTAAGCCTACTTTCAAAATCTTCATCCAAGTCATTAATAAAAACAATGACTAAAAAAGGGGCAAGGACAGTGTCTAGTTGCATGCTATTAACACCAGCAACACTGTCATCTCATCCTGGCTAAGATGGAAATAGCATTTTTTTGGTAGAAATGTCATACTGTGCACTCATAACAAGCTTGTACACTGCTATAACTTCCGTATCTTTTTTACATGTACGCAAAACATAGTATTGCCACTACTAGGTCTGTATCTCAGAGAGATTAAAAGAAATGGGGGGAAGAGCCTATTTGCACACAAATATTTATGGCAGCTCTTTTTTGTGGCTAAGAACTGGAAATGCAAGGGATACCAATCTTTTGAGGGATGGCTGAATAAGTTATGACAACTGATTGTAATGGAATGTTATTGTTCTATGAGAAATGAGGAAGAGTATGATTTCCGAAAAATCTGGAAAGACTTACATGAACTGATCCAGAATAAAATCATCAGAACCAGGAAAACATTGTACACAGTAACAATATTATACCACGAATAACTGAATGACTTAGGTATGCTCAGCAGTGCAATGATCCAAGATAATATGAAAGAATTCATGATTAAAAAAAATGCTGTATGCCAGGACCTTGCTCAATACAGACCAAAGTATACCATTTTTCATGTTCTTTCATTCTTTCATTTTTGGGAGTTTGAATTTTCTTCCTCAAAATGACTAATGTGGAAATATGTTTTACATGATTGTACATGTATAACCCTTATCACATTGTTTACCATCTCAGGGGAAGGGAGAAAAGGATATAATTTGGAACTCAAAACTTTTTAAAATGAATGTTAAAATTGTTTTTATATGTAATGGGATATAAAATAAAATATTATTTAAAATTTTTGGAAAAAACATAGTACTGCTCCACAAGAATAATGCATGGAGATTGAGCATGGATGCAAAGGATAGTTAAAAAAAAAAGAGGTGGGGAGAGGAGGGCTTCTTTATATATGTTAGAGTTATGCAAATTTGACAGATGAAGAAATTGAGGCCCTAAGAAGTAAAATGAGGCAACTACATAACATGGTGGATATAGCACTAGGCCTGGAGTCTGGAATTCAGGAAGACCTGAGTTCAAATCACTTACTGGCTGTATGGCACTGGACAAGTCACTTAAACTGATTTGCCTCAGTTTTCTCATCTGTAAAATGAGCTGGAGAAGTAAATGGCAAACCACTCAAGTATCTTTGCCAAAAAAACCCCAAATGGGGTCACAAAGAGTTGAACACAAAAGAAATGACTCAACAACTACAACACCAACCAGTAAAGAGAGGTCGCACAGTGAATTGGTGGCAAAGTTAGTTGTAGAACATAGGTCCGATTTGTTGCAGACTTCCTCCCCACCCCTGCTATTTTTTTCCCAGGGCTGTCACCATGCTGGTCCCAAGATTTATTCTGCCTTCCCACTCCAAGCCAGCCATAGCTGTCCCTCCCAGAATGCTTTCAGTATCCTTCCTTCCCCATTGCTTCCCCCTTCCTCATGGTTACCTCTAACCGTTTTGGCCATGGTACCCTGATAGATCAGGGGGGTTCCACCAGCTTTTTCATTGTATCATACATTTCATTCACAAAGTGAAGGATAATATTCCTGGTCTCCATGGAGTCACAAGACCAAAAAAAATCTAAATGATTGAGACAGACTATATCACCTCCTTTTCTTTCCACCTTCTTTCAGACACTGAGAAAGAGGCAGCCCTTCTTGCAAACATCACCCCCTTCTATTTGTGCCCTTGACTTCATCCCCTTCTGTCCTCCAGAAGCTTGCCCTTTTGATCACTCTTTCTTCTGCTGTTATCTTCAATTTGTTCCTGTCTATTAAAAAATAAAAAAAAAACCCTTTGGTTCGTCCTAACATCTTTTCAAGCTACTGATCCATAGCTAAATTCCAAGAAAAATCATCTGCGTTTACCACTTCCACTTCCTCATATACCACTATTCCCTGACTTCTTGAGTCCTTACAACATAACTTCTGACCCAATCAATCTACTGAACTCACACTTGCAGAACTGACTAATGATCTCTTAACTGCTGGATCTCAGAATCCGTCTTTCCCCTGACCTCAGACTTCTTGACCTTTTTGCAGCTTTTGGCATTGGTGACTGCTCTTCCTGAGCATTCTCATCTTCTTCACTGCTCTTTCCTGTTCCTGCACTTGCCTGTACTATTACTCGTCCATCTAAGTTGCTGAATTCTATCATCCATTTTCCATCTACCATGTTTGTGTATTTCCTCCAAGGCTCTGTCCTAGGTCCTTTTCTCTTCTCTCTCTGTTCTCCCTCTTTTGTTGCTCTCACATGCTCTCCATGGGTTGAATACTCATCTCTAAATAAATGACTCTTCGGTCCAAGCCTAATCTTTCTCTTCAAATTTAGCCTCACATTGCCAACTACCTACTAAATATCATCACTGTAATTTCCAGGCAATACTTCAAATTCATCCTCTTCTCCACCACCTCCTCTAAACTTTCCTATTGCTGTTAAAAATAGGGTCATCAAGGTTCATAACCCTGGAGTCATCTTTGATGCTTCCCTCTCTCTCACCACCCAATCTAATCAGTCATTAAGCTAGTAGATTTGACCTCTACAGCATCTGTTGTATCCATCCCCCTTTCTCCATGCATACCCTAGTTCAAGCCATCATCATCTCTTGTTTATATTAATATAATAGCTTCCTAGTTGGTTTCCCTGCCTCCAGTCTCTTCCTCCTTCACCCCATCATCCACACAGCTATCAAAATAATATTCCTAAGGCACAAGCAACCTGTCCAACATTCCAAAAGTAGTAAATAACAGATCTATGACTCAAACTTGTAGTCCTCAGACTACAAATAAAGCACTCATTCCAATGAGACTTCCTGCCATCATTTACTTCCTTTTGTTTTAAAATTAATTTTAATTGTTTATTACCTGATTTTTTAATCATCTCCAAACATGCTGGACCCATTTTGTTAACTCTGTATGTTTCACCGGAAAAAGAGCAGTATGACATCTTTTCTTATGTTTCCCTGAGGAAAGGAATGCATTTTTCCATACTGCCCAGAAGGTCTTTGAGTAGAACCTCCACAGCATGAAGCAGTGGCAGAGAATTTCAAAATGTTAATTATATTCCTTTGCCTGATCTAGTCTGAGGCCATAATTTGATTCTGATCTGCCTATATAGCCTTCTTCCACATGATTCACTTTCATGCATTCTACATGTTTGGAGAGAACAAGCACCTCTAGTGTGAGATCTTGCCAAGCCCTTTTCAGGGTTGCTCATCCACTTTTGGTGTCCACCTGCCACCTAACTTTCACCTGGGGCTCCAAGAAGCTGCAGCATGTGCAGAGGCCACATCCTGATAAAAAAAAAACCACCTAGGCAGACAGACTAAACCAAGTTGAGGGTAACTGACAAGTTTCAAACCATCAACGAATTGTGGAGACATCTACCTCAAGCATGTGAAGACTTCCCCAGTGGAAGGGGTGAATGAAAACAATTTATGGCCAATGGTTATGAAGGGAGCCGAAGAGATCTGTGGAGCACTTAGAGGTTGGGCAGACATCCCAGAAGCCATGGTAATCTACTGTATCCTCAGCCATCACCAGTCATCTTGACTTGTCTGGCCACTAGTCTTTGGTGACTCTGTAAGAGAGCGTGAAGCTGACAACTTTGTGCAACACTGCCTCACTTAAATCCAATTCAACCGTGAGTCAAGGCATCACTTCATGACGTCATTGGCCATCTTTGAAAATGAAGGATGAACAGCAGCAATATTCCAGCCAAACTATCCAACTCACTGTTCCCTAAACACATCAATCTATTGCCTGTCTCCTTGTCTTTTTCTTAAATTAACTCCCTCTTCGTCCCTGCCTCCAAGAAGCCTCACATCTTTTCAGACTTAGAGTCATCTCTGATTCACTAGCAATTTCTTGGTCAATTAGGAAAAAAGGCATCTTAGGAACTGGAGGATGTCAAAGAAGGCAAGCGTTTGGGAAATCAAGAGTACCCTAGGAAGAAAATGGCCAAGAGCTAGCAAAATTTCTGAGATGTGTGATAGAAAATCTGGCTGCACCAGAGTTAGCAAAGATGGATTGTACTAAAGTCACTGGGCAGGTGCCAGGCGAGACAGTGGGTGTCACAGTTACTCCACGGAGTCAAGAGGTCATAGACACTCTGGTTCCCACATGGGGCCTTGTTAAAGAAATAACAGTCATGTGATGGACCCAAATATGACATGAGAGCTGTAGGGCAAGTGTAGATTGGTAGTTAAAGTCAGTAGAGAGTTAAGGAAACATGTAAGCCAAATCAGGAGGTGAAAATTGTTACAAGTGACAAATTAGTAAGGAACTAGACTATTCATTTATTCATTCATTAAACAAAATGTATTAAACTACTTTTGTGTACAGAGAGCTGTATTAGGTGCTGGAGGAGATACAAAGTTGAGATAAGACACAATCTCCACCCTTGGGGTTTCCAAGCTCAGCCCCTCATTCCCTCTTACCTGGACTAGTATTCCAAAGCCTCCTAACTGGTCACCTGCTTTTGGTCTCTGTTCTCTCCAATTTGTCTTCAATACAGTTACTACATTAATACTAGTAAAGCATGCATCTGGGCAGTTCACTGCCCTGCCAAAAAAGTTGTAGCGGCTCTCTATTTCCTTAAGTTTAGAATATAGTCTCTTCTTAACATTTAAAATCTTTCCCAATTTGTCTACAACTTACCTTTCCCAACTCACTTTCTCTTTTATCTTTTTTCAAAATTTTCTCTATTTTTTGTTACATTTTGGTTTCCAGGCTGTCTCCCTCCCTACCTCCCAACCACATTAGAAAAGACACACACACACACATACACACACACAAAACCATCAATACATACT